CCTGAGTAACAATTCTGTGGCACTCAGTAACAATTCTGTCTGTCCCTGAAGTAAAAATTGTGGCCCTAAGTAACAGTTTCTGTGAGGCCTCTGAGTAACAATTCTCTGGCCACTAAGTAACAGTTTCTTCTGTCCCTCAGTAACAGTTCTGTGGCCCTGAGTAACAATTCTGTGTCTGTGCGAGTAACAATTCTGTGGCCCTAAGTAAAATTCTGTGGCCCTCAGTAACAGTTCTGTGTCTGTGCGAGTAACAATTTTCTGGTCTGTGCGAGTAACAATTCTGTGGCCCTAAGTAAGTTTCTGTGGCCCTAAGTAACAATTCTGTGTCTGTGCGTTCTGTGGCCCTGAGTAACAATTCTGTCTGTGCGAGTAACAATTCTGTGGCCCTAAGTAACTGCACTCAGTAACAATTCTGTCTGTCCCTGAGTAACAATTCTGCACTCAGTAACAATTCTGTCTGTCCCTGAGTAACAATTCTGTGGCCCTGTCTGTGGCCCTGAGTAACAATTCTCTCTGGCACTCCGTAACAATTTTCTGTCTGTCCCTGAGTAACAATTCTCTGGCACTCAGTAACAATTCTGTCTGTCCCTGAGTAAAAATTCTGTGGCCCTAAGTAAAGTTTTCTGTGGCCCTGAGTAACAATTCTCTGGCACTCCGTAACAATTCTGTCTGTCCCTGAGTATGAATTCTGTGGCCCTAACTAGCGTTTCTTTGTCCCTAAGTAACAGTTCTGTGGCCCTGAGTAACAATTCTGTGTCTGTGCGAGTAACAATTCTGTGGCCCTAAGTAACAGTTCTGTGGCCCTCAGTAACAGTTCTGTGTCTGTGCACGAGTAACAATTTGTGTCTGTGTCTGTCTTGTGGCCCTGAGTAACAATTCTGTGGCCCTCAGTAACAATTCTGTGTGTGTGCGAGTAACAATTCTGTGCCCTAAGTAACAATTTCTGTCTGTCTGTGGCCCTAAGTAAAGTTTCTGTGGCCCTAAGTAACAATTTTCTGGCACTCAGTAACAATTCTGTCTGTCCCTGAGTAACAATTCTCTGGCACTCAGTAACAATTCTGTCTGTCCCTGAGTAAAAATTCTGTGGCCCTAAGTAAAAGTTTCTGGGGCCCTGAGTAACAATTCTCTGGCACTCAGTAACAATTCTGTCTGTCCCTGAGTAACAATTCTCTGGCACTCAGTAACAATTCTGTCTGTCCCTGAGTAAAAATTCTGTGGCCCTAATAACGTTTCTGTGGCCCTAAGTAACAATTCTCTGGCACTGAGTAACAATTCTGTCTGTCCCTGAGTATGAAATTCTGTGGCCCTAACTAGCGTTTCTTTGTCCCTAAATAACGATTCTGTGGCCCTCATTAACAAGTCTGTGTCCCTGAGTAATGGTTCTCTGTCCCTAAGTAACTTTTCTCTGTCCCCCCTAACTCTGTCCCTGTCCCTAGTACAGAGCGGTCTGCCTCTGTTCAATAACTGCAGGCAAATGAAGAATTCCAAAATGGCCGCTATTTATAGCTCGACCATTACACAGTGCTGGCTGGCTGGCTGCTGATTGGCTGATGCGATCACATGTAGTTGAGGAATGCATTATGGGTCAGCGCGCCTTGTCTGCGCGCCTTCCCAGACATCCCCGCTCCGTCGCCGCACATGTCAGCCGCCATTTTCTGAAAAATTTCGATTCGCGCGTCCGAATTAGGCTATTTTTCGGATTCGGCACGAATCGAAATTTTTCCGATATTCGACTCGAATTCCACTTCGGATACTTCGATTCGCTCATCTCTATTTGGTATGATCCAATAAATAGTCAATTGTAAATTGTAATTATATTGTTTATGTGATTATTGGCCATATGGCCATCCAATTAGTTCTCTGTGCATAGGGGTAATCTCCTCTGGTCTCTTTGCATGTGCGCTGGCATGCTGGAAGTCCGCACCCAGCCGATGACGTCACATGCTGGCCGGGTGGAAGATCTAAAAGGTGGAAGTCTCCAGTGGCCATTTTGCTGGAGTCATGTGGGCAGCCAATGCTCAAACACACAGCCTAAGGGTAAGAACCTGCTTTTATGTGAACAGTAGAGATATTACTGATATTAGGTGTAATGCTGAACTTGATATTATTTCACTGCTTACTGGCACACTGACTTGTACACTGCACAGGCATCTCTCTAGTCCTGGGACGAATGTGTGTTTTTGGTGGATAACAATCAAATGAATATTAGTTTAATATATTTGAAGGCAGCTGTTATAAATAACTTAGTTGGGTAATTATTAATTCCTTCCGTTTCAGTGTTTATAAAGTCGGCTATTACAACCCAAGATAATTAGGTGATCCCCCGTGTGGTCTTATCTATTACTACACCATGTGAGAAATCATTAAGGAATTGATATTAGCAGTGAGGAATTTTTAATCAGATCTTACTAGGTGTTTTTCATATGTATACTTTATAATAGTATCATCCTACTATACCCTCTGTAATCACATTGAAGCTTGAGTCTTGATACCATCTTGCAATTTATATTTGTTTGCCAACTTAAGTTTATGTCAACTGAGGTAACATTCTGGATATTTTATTAATAATTGTACTATATGGATTCATGTGTTTAATATTGTACTGGTTACAATTTATTTTTTAAATGAATTCAGAATATTAGCAGTTATTGTTTTCTTTCCCCTGAAGAAGCCCGATTGGGGCGAAACATGTCATGAAAATACGTCTGTATAGCACTAGGCCAGCTATAGTATATAAGATAAGGAGTTTTACCATTCCCAATTAACAGATACATTAAAGGACTCCAATACATATGCCAGACTCCCGAACGACCCAACGTAAAAATATAAAAAAGAATTAGAGGAATTAATACAATGGGGTTTTAAATCCAGAATTTAAACTGAAAAGGAGAGGAGATATTTGATCCTGAGCTTCTGTAGATTACCTATTATATATACATTACCAAAAATTCACAAAAATGTCCAGTGTCCACCTGCAGAACCCATAGTTATTTGTATTTGTCAGTTACATCCAGCTTGGGGGAATATTTGGGTGGATTTCAAGTGAGTGTTGTTAACACTAAGGCCTATTTAATGTACACTAAGGATTTAGAACAGTCAATAAAACAGTTAGATCTTAAAGGAAATGTGAAATATTCTTAGTGACAGCAGATGTGGCATCACTTTACGTCAGTATAGAGCAGGGGTCTTGAATTAAAATTTACGGAGGTCCGGTCAGCAAAATTTCCTTCCAGCAGAGGTTTGAACCTCGTTCGCGATATAACACATCACAGTCCCCTGGTACACTATGAACTTTAGCATACCTTTCACACTGTAGTCACAGTCCTCTCTTTAAAAAAGTCCTACAGTGTCCTCTTTTCCTTTCACATCACTGCCCCCCTTTACATCACAGCGCCCCTTAACAAAACACAGCATCTCCTAACACAACACAGCACCCCTAAAATAACACAGAACCCCTTAACATGACACAGCACCCCTTAACACAACACAGCACCACTAACACAACATAGCACCCCTAACAACACAGCAAATATATAGCAAAGACAGGATGTTTCTTTGCTGGACAGGGATGTCCCTTTGCTGGATGGGGATGTCCTTTCTTGGACTGGGCTGACTCTTTGCTGGATTGGGATGTCTCTTTGCTGAAATTAATTGGGCAAAGAGACAGCCCAGTCCAGCAAAGAGACAGCCCAGTCCAGCAAAGAGACTTTGCCTTCCAGCAAAGAGACAGTCCAGTCCAGCACAGAGACAGCCTATCCAGCAGAGACAGCCCCATCCACCGCCACTACAGACCTGTCACAGTGTGCCAGCAGGTGAAGAAGAAAGGCCGCCATTGTCCCTTCAGTGCAGCAGCCAGCCGAGGAGCCGTGTCCCTGTGTCAGTGGCATTTCCTGCTTGTTGACTGGAGCCGTCACTTCCACTCCTCCTGTTGGCCCTGCTTTAGTCATACAGCAGGAGGTGAGCTGCGGCCGCAGTCTGAATTAGCCCTGTCCAGACAGCGGTCGCCGCTTACCTCCCTCTGTGCAGCCTGGTAATCTTAAACCCAGCGGCCCCAAGGGTGGACACCCAGCGATCCTGGGAGCTTACAGTCTAAGAGGTATGTGAAAGACCAGGATGTACTAGACCATTGGTGTCGCCAGTTCACCAAAAGGTAGCACGGCACTAGTACTGTCACTCTGCTGCATATGAGAGTCATCAAAATTTACCAACAAGTGCTAACAGAGATCAGGCCTGATTCTGCGAACACTGTGGTTTTTTGTGCAATGTATCAAGTGACAGTGACCTACTGACACTGCACTTGCTGGGGGAGAAGGGGGGGTAAGCGTAGAAGCTAAATGCAGGTGCTGGCAGGTGCCGGGGCTGATCCCGCTAACGCTGTGTTTTTGGGGGTACTACACTAATGTGAACACTGCTATAGTGCTGATCTGATCAAAGATATGGATCCGTTCAGACACAATACTAGCAATGGAGGTTTATTGTGTATGAGCGTGTTCCTGGCAATCAAGCGATTAAATGTGATGACTGGTGTACTGATGGGCAATCTGCCGCCATCTGGGAGGAGTGTGAAAACCACTGGAGCACCAATCACGTATATATATATATATGTGATTTTGCGCACCTGTGCCGCCCTGTAGCAGTATTTATACAGTGGCTGGTCGGCAACCAGTTTAAAAAAAACATAAATAATAATACAAAAAAAAAATAAAAATGTAAAAAAAATGAATAAATTATAATTTTTGGTTATAAACTAACTGGGGTTATTTATTTTTTTTTACTAAAAAGATAACTAAATAAATGTTGGCCAAGATGTATGATGATATATTATTTATTTGCAAAATCTTATAACAAAAACACTTTTTTCAAAATTTTTGGACATTTTCATTTATATAGCAAAAAAAATAAAAATCCCAGTGGTAAATAAATACCAACAAAATAAAGCTTTATCTGTTTTAAAAAAATGCTAAAAAATTCATATGGGTACAGTGTTGCATGACCGCGCAATTGTCATTCAAAGTATGATAGCGCTGAAAGCTTAAAATTGGCCTGGACAGGAAGGGGGTAAAAGTGTCTGGACTTGAAGTGGTTAATACAGAGAAGCTTTTCAACCAGGGGCGGACTGACAACTCATGGGGCCCCCTGGCAATAGGGGATCATGGGGCCCCTGTTTCCTTGCCCAAACTCAAAAAAGCCTATGACTAAAGGTACCAGGGGCATCTCATGGGGCCCCCTACTGACCCCAGGCCCTCAGGCAGTGCCCGAGTTTCCAAATGGTCAGTCCGCCCCTGATTTCAACTCAATATTTGGATAGAATTATTGGGATGGTAGTAGAGGTGCCTAGGGACAACATTTTAAAAGAAAAATCTAGAGATCAGTGTAATGATAAACATCTCTGGAGTTTTATTTCCCACTACCATTTTCAGTATAGAGAGGTGGAAAATATTTTAAAAGGCACTGGCATGTGTTATTAATGGATAGAGTTTTGGGAAACAAACATACCACCTAAACCCACCTTCATCTATAGACGTGCTCCTAATTTTGGAGACATGGTAGAGAAGAAGATTTTGGACCCTCCCACTAAACATTCTTTGTTCCCAAACAAGAAGGGCTTCTTTGCATGTTGTGGATGTCAGGTATGTAGGGCAGCCAAAAATAATGTTAGAATAGAAGGAATTTTTCATCAAGGGTTACTGAAAAATCTTATCAAATATTAGAATTTATTTCTTGAGACACTACCCATGTAGTATACAACCTGCAGTTGTGGCCCATGTTGTCTGTAATATGTGAGCCGAACTAAACACCCTTTAATGTAACAACTGGCTTTTGGAATCACAATGGGGTTGACTTACTAAAGGTAAATAGGCTGCACACTGTAAGTGTACTCCAAGTGCAATTGGAAGTGCTCTGGAAGGGCACTAAAAGTGCAGTAGCTATAGATCTGAAGGAACATGCATGGAAAATAAAAAAACAGCATTTTTGCTTGCACATGATTTGATGAAAGAAATCAGCAGAGCTTCACCCCATTTCAGAGCTTCCCCTCGGATCTAAAGCAACTGCACTTGCAGTGCACAGCCTATTTACCTTTAGTAAATCAACCCTAGTGTGTTACTTCATTTCAGGCAGGTACATTAAAAAAACCCTGAGGGTTTATTATTTTGGGTTATAGGTAGAATTTATCCATTATGGAGGGGGTCCAATATGGTCAGGGAACTCTCTAAATGGGAAACCATGTGGATACATGAGCTCCAGACTTAGGCTAGGCCTGAATGTGGAAATGGATAAAAATTGCTTCATTAGTGGTGTTTAGTGAGAAAGCATTTTGGAAAATATAAGTATGGAAATGTCTTTATAGTTTCAGTGTTATTATTATTGTGATTTATAAGTGGGATTGAGAGGAATAATATAATGTGTATATATATTTTAGATTATGTGAATTTTTATTTTCATTTTTATTTTTGTTTTGTTATTTCATTTATGTTGAGTTTTATATTTCAATTTTGCTGATTTTTATATGCTTATATTATTTTATAATGACAGGTTTTATCCATATGTGAGTTATTATATTATTATGGGTTAATTATTGATATTGATTTTAATGTTTTGTATAGTGCTATATTGCATATTAGATGGATTATGTATTTTGTATGAGTAGTGATGGGCCAAACACCCCACTGTTCTGTTTGTGGTCGAACATTCAAACCTTATAAAAGCCCTCAACATGGGGGGGGGTGCTTTGGGGTAAGGGGGCTCCCCCTCATAGCACCTTGCCCCCATGTTGATGGGGACAAAGTCCTCTTCCTCACAACCCTGGGCTGTGGTTATGGGGGGTCTGTGGAGGATGCTTTATCAGAATCTGGAAGCCCCCTTTAACAAGGGGGCCCCCAGATACCGCCCTTCCCCCTTGTAAATGAGTATGTGATGCATCATATTCCTACCCATTCACCAAAAATGTGTAAAATGTGAATAAAAACAGTTTTTTACAAGTCCTTTATTTAAAAAAAAGCCCCAAAAAATTGTTTCATCATTGTAATCCGTCATCAGTCATGGTGTCTAGTGTTATCATGATGACGCCGACTTGCCGAAAAACCCCGACGCCCACGACCCGTCTGTACCCTCTGAGCAGTCACCACTATCTGATATTTGCCAGTCAGGTGTAAACAATTAGGCACAGCTTGCAGTGATGTCACCACTAGCTCTGCCCAATTGTGCTGTGATTCTGGGGCACGGCGGCGAGCGGACAGCCCTTACTGTTCGTGTAATGGCTGATGTTTGAGTTGAACTTACGTTCGAATCGAACATCAAGCCCATCACTATTTATGATGAATATACTTTTACAATATACAATTTAGGTGTAGTATATAGCTTAATATACTTTTTAGATAAGCATGCATATCACTATATATCATTGTGATCAATGTTTGTCAATGGTTAGGATTAGTATCATTACTAGCCACAAGATAGAGCTCTTTAACTTCATTGCTTCTAATGACATCTGGGAAGTTTGGGGTTAAAGATGAATGGCAGGAAGTTATAAACATTCCCTTTAAAGTGGAGCTCCACCCAAAAGGGGAAGTTCCGCTTTAAGGACTGCTCTCCCGTTCCCCATTAACCACTTGCCTACCAGGCACTTATACCCCCTTATTTACCAGGCCAATTTTCAGCTTTCAGTGCTGCCGCACTTTGATTGACAATTGCGCCGTCATGCAACATTGTACCCATATGAAATTTTGATCATTTTTTCTCACAAATAGAGTTTTCTTTTGGTGGTATTTAATCGCCACTGGGCGCTTTACTTTTTGCGCTATAAATAAAAAAAGTGCAAAAAAATTTGAAAAAAAAAAAGTTTCTTTGTTTCTATTATAAAATTTTTCAAACAGGTATTTTTTCTCCTTCACTGATGTGCGTTGATGAGGCAGCACTGATGGGCACTGATAGGCAGCACTAAAGGGCACTGATAGGCAGTACTACTAAGGTGGCACGGATAAGCGGCACTGATAGACAGCACTAATGAGGTGTCACGGATAGGCGGCACTAATATGCAGCACTGATAGGCGGCACTGATAGGTGACACTGATGATGGGTACTGATAGACGGCACTGACTGGCATCACTGCTGGGCACTGACTGGCGGCACTGACTGGAACAACCCCTGGGCACTGACTGGTGGCACTGACTGGCAGCACTGGTGGGCTGCACTGGTGGGTGGCACTGGTGGGCAGCACTGGTGGGTGGGCACAGGTGGGTGGCACTGGTGGGCAAAGGTGGGTGGGCACAGGTGGGTGGCACTGCTGGGCACAGGTAGGTGGCACTTCTGGGCACAGGTGTGTGACACTGCAGAGTGGCACAGGTGGGTGCACTGCTGGGCACAGGTGGGTGATCTGCTGGGCACTGGTGGGCGGAGCTAGTGAGCGCACTGCTGGGCACAGGTGGGCGGAACTTGCGGGTGGCACTGCTGGGCACCGATCATCAGGGCACTGATCATCAGTGCCCTGATGATCGGTGCCGATCCCCGCTCTGACAACTGCCGGTTCTCGGCAGTACTTTCCTCATGATCTGACAGCGTGAGGAAAGTGCAGCCGAGAACCGGCACTTGCATTTCCCTGTGATCAGCGTGTCATTGGACACCGCTGATCACGTGGTAAAAGGCCGCTGTGATTGGCCTTTTACCACATCACGTGATCAGCTGTGTCCGTAGGACACAGCGATCACAGAGATCGCCAATTGCGCGCCCCCTGGGGCGCGCAGGAGAGCGCATTCTGGGAGGACGTCATATGACGTCCACTCAGAACTGGCCGGCCGCAGTGTATCCGTCATTCGGCTATCTGCGGTCGGGAAGCGGTTAAGGATTGGCACCTTTGGGGAGCGGGTACCCGAAGTTGACAGGTACCCGCTCCTACTTCCGGAAGGTGTCCTCCTTCCCTCCCTGTAGTCTTTTGGGACACGTGACAGGTCCCAGAAGACTACAGGACTATTCAAGAAGCGCAGCGCTACTCACGCATGCGCAGTGGGTACCCGGCTGTTAAGCCACAAGCTATCACAGCCGAGTGCCCACACTGAAGATGCTGGCCTCCTGGAATACAGGACAGCCGGTGAAACGAGCATCGGGAAACACACCACAGGACTGAGGGACAGGTAAGTGGCTGTTTTTTAAAAGTCAGCAGATACAGTTTTTGTAGCTGCTGACTTTTATATTTTGATAGGTCAAGTGGAACTCCGCTTTAAAGTCAACCCAATAAACACCCACCCTTTAAAGTCAGGTGACGAAACGCATCAAAGTCGCTTGCGGTCAGTGAGGATGGTCAGGTGAGACATTGTAGATTCTAAACACCATAACATTGCGGTATTATTGATGTTGGACATGCATTCATTTTATCTTTATGAGTATTTTACTGTTTTTTTAATGAATTGAATTTTAGTGGTATTGTCAGGAATGGACTCAGCACTGGTGGTGGGACTCGCCTGCCGTGTGGGCTGCAGTACCAGAGCTGACCAGCGGGTGCTCTCAGCACTGGTGGTGGGACTCACCTGCCGTGTGGGCTGCAGTACCAGAGCTGACCAGCGGGTGCTCTTAGCAGCCAGAAGCTCACAATCAGCCAAACCTGGGGCTGATTGCAGAAAGGTGTATATAAGGCATGACCAGGCCTGTGCTCTGGGCCTTGGTGTATGTTTTCCCATGAGCCTCTGTACCTGTACCTGTATCCTGTGTTCCTGCTTCGTTGCTGACCCGGCTTGATCCTGATCTCTGTTGACCGTCTCCTGTTCTGACTACTGGCTCATCCCTGACTATTCTTCTGCCTACTCCTATGCTGTTTGACCTCCTGTTGCTGTACCTTGGCTTGTGACCCGTTTACTCTTTGCCTGCTGCTCTGTACTGATCTGCCTCCACCGTTACCGACCCGGCTTGTCTGACCACGCTAACTACTCTGCCATCCATCCATCCTGCACGGATCCAGCCTTACCTGCACATACCTCTGGCAGATCCCTCTACCACTAGCAGGTGTACTCAGGGGCTGCGACCTGGTCTCAGTCCTGCGCCAAGTCCATCCCCACCATCAGAGGCTCTGGTGAAAAGGCAGACTGGGGCTTAGACTCCGCGCCCTGGGGAATCCTGCCCTGAGGACCGCTAGAGGTACCACCAAACGGTCATTACAGAACCCTACGGCCGGCCTGACCGTTCCACCTCTCCAGCGCTGACTACGCCTGTGTTCCTGCACCTCCTAAAGATTAGTGGAAGGTTGGTTTGCGCACTGTGCGTTTTATATATATATATATATATCTGGGTGGCTAATAATAACCTGTATTATACTATACCTGAAACCTGCGTTTCCCTGTGTCAGTCCACACCTTTCTGGTCATTCCTTGATTCCTGACAGGTATTATGCAATTGGCTCTTTCTTATTCCCTTTCCTGTGGTGAAGTGATTTTGATAGAGGAATCCCTACCATTACATGAGCATTTGTTTGCTAAAGGGTACAGCCATTATGAGTGAAGAACCCTAATTGGGATTGTTATTCACCACAAGCAATTTTGCTTATCAATAATGAGATAAGCCATAATATCCTGTGAATGTCACTGGACTGGGGGTGATCAGTTTGTAGCATGTGGTGTTAGAGAAGTGGAGTTTGCTGATCACTTACAGGCAGGGCCATCTTTAAGGAGGGGCAAAAGGGGCAGCTGCCCTCAGCCTAGTCATTGTTGTGGGGCCCAAAGCAGCTATCCCATACTTGCCAACTGTACTGGTTTACATTCCTTGTCCCTTGAAGTGTTTGTCACAGGCTGTGTATCTCAGTGTGAAGTGCTGTCACTTATGATGCCCAGCTCTGTCCTATTGCCATATTCATGTAAATAACAGTGGCATTCATATGTAAATAGAAGAGGCAATGTGGCATTCATATGTAAATAGCATCAACAGTCTGGCATTCATATGTAAATAGTGATGGCAGTGTAGCATTTCTATGTATATTGTACCCCCCTGGATTCCAGCCACCAACACCTCTGCTGGTGGTCAGTGTAAATTCCCCCTTACATTGGTGGCCAGTGTAGAAATGTATTGCTTGTTGGTGTAAAATCCAACATTACATTGGATGTCAGTGCAAATTCTTAATTACATTGGTGGTCAGAGCAAATTTTCCATTACATTGGTGGCCAGTGTAAATTTCCCTTTAAATTGGTGATAAGTGCAGAACTGCCCTTGCACTGGTGACCAGTGTAAATCCCCCTTATATAGGTCATCAGTTTTAATCCCCCCTAACATTGGTGGCCGGTGTAGAAATGTCACCTTCCATCCCCATCCAGCACTACCATTGATCCCATCCACCCCAAGCACTGCCATAGATCCCATCTCCCCCAAGCATAGCCACTGAACCCATCCCCCCCATCAGCACTATCACTCATCCCATCCCCCCAGCACTGACACTTATCCCGTCCTCCCCACCACTGCCACTGATCCCATCCCCCCACCACTACCACTGATCCCATCAACCCTCCCCCCAGCACTGCCACTGATCACACGCTCCCGCCCAGAACTGCCATTGATCCCAGGAGTCCTAGGAGTTTTCTGTCTATTGGTGGGTCCCCTAACCTTCTCAGTCCATGGTGTGCAGGCAGTGAGATGATGTGCTGTAACCTTCAGCAACCAATGAGACGTAATTAAGTGCTGTAACCTCTAGCAATCAATCAGTGAGTGGTAAGGATGTGCAGTAACCTCTAACAACCAATCAGTGAATGGTAATAATGGGCAATAACCTCTAGGAACCAACCAGTGTCCAGTAATGATGTGTAGTAACCTCTAGCAGCCAAACAGCGAGCGGTAAGGATGTGCAGAAACCTCTAACAACCAATCAGTGAGCAGTAATGATGTGCAGTATCCTCTAGCAACCAATCAGCAGGAATAAATCATTCTCTGTAACCTTTAGCAACTATGCAATGAGCTGTAAAGTGTGATGTAACCTCTATCAACCAGTCAGTGGGCGGTAATGATATGTTGTAACCTCTGACAACCAAATGCAATTGCTGCCTGAACTGCTGAAGTAAACTGATTTTGAGTATAGCTGCTATTCATTGTATGTTTCAGAGCAAAATTTCATGAGGGGGCCCAATCAATAGTAAAGATGGGCCTGCTTACACGTTGGGAAAATCTATTTAATCACATGGTGTTTTGGCTGGAAAGAAGGACTTATACACAGCTATTTGGTGGCCTTATATATTGATTTCACAGCACGTTTTTTGTTTTTACTTTCATGAATTGTACTTTTTAAAATGTATTTAGTTATATATTATTTATGTACATATTATAGCACTTTAGCACTTTCTATTATATTTGAGCTACTTATATTTGGTGTATATGTGATCATGTTTTCAGTGTATATGCAATTAAAAACCAAATACATATTTTCAACATGTCTCAATAAATAAATTATGTATTTTTATATACTTTCCTGAGTCAATATTTATATACATTATGCACCCTTAAAATCCCATGAAATATGGTACTTAAATTTTTCATATTGAAGAGATGTGGTGCAATAATTATGTAGTCAATCACTCGCTATATCCATATCTACTGCCTGTACTGTGTTCGTTCTTCAGTATATTTTGAGGTTTTCCCATTTGTGTATACAGAGCAATCCTTGCTTTCTATGCTGCCTCATTTTACAACTGCACTGTACTTGCTATAAATCAGCACAGCATGCTAACATGCAATACAGGTATGTGTTAAAGAACAGGGCATTAGCCACTCAATAGCATTTCTGAAGAATCATAATAACCAAATATGTAACCAACATTGAATGTCATGATGCACCTTTTAGGGACAGAATAGAAAATAACATTGGCACCACCTACACTTTTTTTTTTTTTACCATTTCTATAGCTTTCTCCCAATGGTCTATGTATCTGGCTTCTATGATTTCTTTAGAGTAAAACTGTCACTAAACTCAGTGGCAGCCTACCAGGCACGATATGTACCTTCCTTCCCCAATCCAGGGACTTTCCTCCGACATGGTCCCAGCTGGCTACTCTTCATACTCCATATGTACTTTTGACTGGCACTGCCCTATTCTTTCCTTTGGGTAAGCTACAGAATTCTTCCATAACTACAGATTACGCAAATAATAGAAATGGGTCAGTGTGCAGAGAGCAGAAACTGATGAGAAAGCTGGTCTTTGATTTGTCAAAGTAAACAATTTCTAGAGTTAGTCTTTTTACTACAATATTTCATTTTTAATTACATATTACACTTTCTTCTAAAAAAATAAATAAAAACATTTCTCTGGCTTTGACCAGGTGCATGAAACACGTATTATGGATTTTAAAAACCTTTTTGGTGCTTTACAATGTGACTTGTGATCTGAACTTGATATGCTTACTTGACATCCTTTACATATCAAATTGTTCAGTAGATGAGTGGGTGTGTAGCAGGACAGTGTGCTTACACCAACATTGCTTTTTATCAATCTTTAGAAAAAGATTGTTAACAGTGTACATTGAATAGACCAGACAATATGGGTAACACCGTTGAAATACAGACATTCCAAAGTTACAGGCTGCCTGATAGGTACAAGCATATATTACAATGTCTAGCTGACTGCAGCTGCA